GGAAGAACTTATTTACCGAAAGGGTTGTGAGGCATTGGAATGGGCTGCCCAGAGAAGTGGTTGAGTCAATTTACCTGGAGGTCTTTAAAAGAGGTTTAGATGTAGTGCTTAGTGATATGGTTTAGTGGAGGACTGGTTATTGTTAGGTCAGAGGTTGGACTAGGTGATCTTGGAGGTCTCTTCCAACGCAGATTCTGTGGTGGAGTCATCGTCCCTGGGGGTGTTCAAGGAAAGGTTGGACCTGGTGCTTAGGGACATGATTTAGTGGGTGACACTGGTGGTAGGGGGATGGTTGGACCAGATGATCTTGGAGGGCTTTTACAACCGTAGTGGTTCTATGATTCGCTTTAATTTGCCTAACATTATGCTGAAAGCATCAGCATTTAATGGGAACGAGCAGCCAACGCTTGTGCGTGATGCAACACAGTGTCAGCCAAGGCCACATTTACCTGGCTCTACCTTCTTTCTCCCTAGCACTGTATGCAGTGAAGGTGCGCGCTGAAGCTATGCAGAAGGCGTCGGAGGCTGTCCCCAGTGGGATGCTGTCAGTGATTGGCCGGCCGGAGGCAAATTACAAGTTTGCCTGCTTGGAAGCTCGCAGGCACTGTGAATTGCTGGGTATAGAAAACCCTGTATGTGAAATTTCAAACTATTTGTTTCCAGACAGCAGAGTCATTGCGGGACACTTGCAGGTATTGCTGCAGATTAAGTTGAATTTAACATTTTGTTGAATTTAACATTTCAGTATTTAAAACTTTTTTCTGCTTCTATGTGGAGGTTAACCTGTGTGGCAAGAGTTTGGACAAACAAAAGAAGTTGCTTTGTGATGTTTGTTTGTTTGTTTTCTAGTGTGTGCCCAGTTGTTGGGTAGGGAAAGGAGTTGTTTTGTCATGGCAAGTCTGGTGAGATTGTTTTTGGGGGGTTTGTGGGGTGAGCAAGTAAAATTTTGTCATGTGAGACTCACTTCTATCTCTCTTTTATAGGCTTTGAAGTTTTTGCAGGAGAATGCCCGAAAATATTATTTTACACGTACGAAAATGCTTCCGGTCAGTGGTGCTTTTCACACACGACTTATGGAACCAGCAGTAGAGCCATTGGCTGAAGTCCTAAAATGCACTGAGATTCAAAAACCCCTGATTTGTGTCTATTCCAATGTTGATAGCAAAAAGTATATGCACTCAAAACACATTCAGAAGCTGCTAGTAAAGCAGATTGTTTCACCTGTGTTATGGGAACAGACCATGCATTCTGTTTATGAAAGAAAGCAAGGAACAGAATTTCCTTACACATACGAAGTGGGGCCTGGGAAGCAGCTAGGAGCAGTTCTGAAAAAGTGTAACTTAAAGGCCTGGAGGCAATATAGCCACGTAGATGTTTCAGAAGATGAGGAAGTAACAAAGACATAAACAGATTTTTGAGAAAAATCCATGCAACTTGTTTCTGCGTTATTTAAAAATAACTTCACACTCCTAAAAGAGGAAGTCTTAAGCGTTGGTTGCTTCTCATAATGAGAAGAGCACCATGCAAGTCACTGCAGTTAACATTGTCCTTCCCTGTGTGCCTCGGATGTGGAACAAGAGAGCAGCTTGCAAAGTCACTCTTCCACCTGTGTTGGGACTGCAAAACTGCCAATAAACATGCCAAATAGTGTTCTGTTTGGCCTTAATCTTCCAAGCAACTTCCCCTCTTTTTTTTTTCCTTTTTATTTTTATTTTTTGAATTTGTGTGTGTGTGTGCCTTCAAGTTCCAGTCAGTAGCTATTGCTGCCCATTCCAGGGGTCCTCCACCTGTGTTCTGGGCAGAGCTAGGTTGTTTGATGCTGGGTTGCCAAGGGTTTGAATTTGGGATGCTATGGGATGCATGATAGTTGGCCTGCAGGTCCACATGTAGAAGGAAATAATTTTTCTTCCAGTTGTTCAGTGCCACATTGTCTGTGCTAAAATTCCTCATATAGAATAAATGTTTCCCCAAATAAATAAACTTACCAGAATTCCCAGCCTCTCAAGAGGTGCAGGAGTTCTGGAACCCTGACCTATCCTGTGATTGCATAGGCTTGATCTTGTCAAGAAAACGGCTTTTCTTGACAAAGCAGAAAGCAGGGGTGCTGGAAATGTCCTGCTGAGATCCTTGGGAGGGCAACTTTGTTGAAGGTGAGCCCTGCAGCAGCACCCAGTCAGGGGAATTTGGATGCTGATGTCACTTCTCACAGTACCCCTGACTATGTTCTGCCAGCTCTGGCATTTCCCAGAAGCAGGAGATGTGGTGGAGAGCAGAGTCCTTGAAGGAGCTTCCTGACTGGTGAAGCACAGAAAGTTGCTGATACACAGAAAGTTTATTCGTGCTCTGTTTGTACTTTGTCTCTAAGGGGTGCTTCGTGGTTTAGGAATAAAATCAGAGAACAGTGTTTGTTAGGGGATTGGGTACAGATGAGCAAGTAGAGGACAGATTGTGCATGCATGGCTGAGCAGAAGCCTCAGCTGAACTTTACCCTTTTCTTCACGCTTTTGGTATTTTAATAGCTTTTAGCAGATATACCAAAAAAAGAAAAGCATATATTACTTAAATCATATATGACTACTACAGGCTGCCAGTTAAATCCTGGGCTGACTTTAAAAAAAAAAAAAAATGAAGTCTCTACCGTTAACAGGAATGTGCTAATTAGTTAAGTGAAACATAACAAATTTATCACCAGGTGGTTAGAATATTCCAACTAAATGACAGTAACATTGAATTATGAGCTGTGTTGGAAGTTTCTGACTATATCTTGTAAGACTAAAAGTAATGTTAGTGACTTTTAAACCACCTTGTATAGTAGTTAGAACTGAGAATGGCATACTGGTGACACTCATTTTGTTTTTAGTATAGTGCTTTATGGTTTACAAATTTTTAATTATTTAACATTTTGGGGGTAAATTTGAAGACTTGTCTTCTATTTATACTGTTCTTACCATATATATTTGTGAGAGTGTATGTATATGTGTGTGTATACATATATATAATTAATATATTATTTCACTTTACTGCACACTTTGCATGGAAAAAAATCTCTTCAGGAAAAACATAATAGAAATCTCAGTTTGCGAATGCAGCACAGACTGGTAGATCACCTTTGCACCTTCAATAGATGCAGAATACTGAAGTGACAACAGGACCCTAAGAGCATGCCACACTTGTTGGCCCTGTTTAATTGGGGTGAGAAGCAGCCATTACCATGTGCAGTTCTTTGCTTTACCTCTGTGCACCTGGCATCTGCACAAACAGCAGCATTATACCCTTGTGTTGATGTTACAGTTTATATAAGCTGAAAAGTATGGCAGACAGCTTTATGCCTTCATGTCAAGAGCTTTCAGGGCTTGCTTTAGTGTAGTGCCTGGTGACACAACATCGTGCTGTACATGGCTATAAAAGAACGGGAGGGTATCTTGCATGTGATAGAACTTGTCTGTGGCTAGGTGGAGAATGGCATGCAGGGCAATTAAGGATCCTAGGTCTTACTACTGTTATCTGCATTTCTTTTATGCGTGCGCTCATCTATGCATTCTGCTCTAGGAAACTGAAAGTTTTATGATGTGAAAAGTCAGCGTAGTTCCTGCACCTAGGAACAAGAAGAAACAGGATGTGGAAAAAAAAATCAAGTGCTGTAAACTCTGTCACATGGGGAAGTGTGCATTAATAATATATATACATATATATATATAAAATTTAGGTCTCCTGAGTCACAGTGCAGAGCCGTGGCATTGAGCAAAGAGTCCTAGTTACATGTGAGAGGGAACCTGGCCATTACTGCTCACTACAGTGTCCCAGCTGGTGTTGATACCTGCTGCAGGTTCTGTTTGTGCTGTGTTTCATGTATGGTGTTGATGTAGTTACAGTTTATGCTCCCCAGTACTGTGTTTTATTCCATACATGCCAGATACTGACCTTTCCCTAGGATTGTAAGTGTTATTTATTGCAGTCCCTGAGAGTGAAAAACTACAGCCCTCTCCCCTACAGCTTTCATATGGAATAGGCCGTGTGGCAGTCTCCTATATATAGCTGCTCCCCTGGGCATAAAGATTATTTATCTAGACATACATAAAATTATTTTGTATTGTTAAAATGATTCAGCCAGGAAGAATCAAATTATTTGCAGTGGATACGTTTGTTACACTCACATAGTTGGTTTATTAGACTCTTTTGATGGGAGTTTTTACACCTTACTAAATAACTTTAAAATATTTTCTGTCATGCCACTGGTATGGAGTTAAACAGAACAATCAACTCACTGGTGATGTTTTGGTCTCTTTTTATGGTTATATGGGCAACTCCTTTTGCCAGCTTCTGGCCTGGGTAAGACCATGGCTCTAAATGTACCACACATGCTTTTCTAGTAAAGTACCTTACGTACCTGCTCCTGAATGGCAGACTGAGTCCAGAGCACTGTGAAAGAAAGGTGACGTATTTTTGGAGAGACTCCAGTTTACGTGCTGCTGCTTGCATTCTGAAGGGTAAACTGCATCCTTCATCCTCTAGTTACTTTTTTTTTTTTCTCTGCATTTCTAGTAAGTTGAAGATATTTCAAAATCTTTTAACATAAAATGTTTGGACAAAATATTCTACCTCAACCTTCTTTTCTCTTCTCTCTCTCCTTCTCTTCCTTTTTTTTTTTTTTTTTTTCCTCCTCCAGAAGAGTGGTTTGAGGTGGAAGGCTAGGAGCTTAATTGGATTTGGTACCATCCATAAAGGAGAGGAAACACATCCCTCAACCCTCTGATTTGGGCATTCACCTACAGGAAGAAGAGTGCTTTAAATTCATTGTCTCAAATTAAAAACTGTGTCTCAAATTTGAAACTCCAGCCTCTCAGGCAAGTGCTTAAATTACTGCACCGTTAATTACTGTATTTTCCTGTTTCAAAAGTGCCCTAGCAGTGGTATTCACTTGATGAGAAAGGAAGCAGGTATCCCCTCTTGTGAGGGGAATACCCAAACCACAGAGATGCACTTTCATTTTCTCTCTGTCTGTGTTCCTGTGCAGTGAAAAGCAGCTTAAGCATCAGCACTCAGGGAGGATGCACGCACACAGGTAGGCAGGATCATTCGGCACGGCTGGGGCATGCTCTTGAGAGGCAAGAAGGCTGCCTGTCCTGGCTGCTCCCCAGGGAGGGTGGAGGTGACACCTATCCCACCACCATTTTACAATCTTCCTCTAGTCAGTTATTTCCCCCTAACCACATGACTTCCAAAAAGCTGTGAATCATCAAAATAAATTTAAAAAAAAGTTTCTCAAATTCTGTTTTTTCTGGGCAACTCGAAATTTTACTTCATAAAGAGGCAGAAGAAAGAATGTAAAAATCTGTAGTCAGTTTTTGAGAAGTCCTGCAGAACCAATGGATTGGATTTGGGTGGCCCTTGAGTGCCAGTCCAACCAACACGATTGCTAGCTCATCTGAACAACTCTTTTTTCCAATAAACTAGTTCCATATGCTTATTTTACTAAATAAAGGTAAATCGAGGCCTGTCCTGTAGTATTAGATAATCTGTACAAGACAAGAAATTATTAACATGTAATAGCACAGTCCTAGAAAACAAAGTAGGTAACACTGCAAAACATTTAAAGCAACAATTTAATTTTAGAAAAGTATCATGGTTTTAATCTTTGCTATTGCTTTTACAATGTTAACATTTAAAGGATGACCAGCATGCCTTCTGTCTTCCCCACTGACAGAGTATTTTCAAGAAACTCCTTTATGTGAAATAGACATTTTGTATTGCATTAAAACAAACAAAAAAAGGACAGAAACAGACTTTCTGATCACATGGCCTCACACTTCAAAACTAGCAAGTCAGGCAGTTATCCAGCACCAACCTCATTATTTTAAACATTTTCTTTTAAAAAAGAGTATGAAACAGCAGTGACCCAGCACTAGCCTAGGTTTTAAATATAAAAGAGATTTTTATCAGTGTAAATTTGAAAAACAAACCAGCTGCCACCACCAGGGTGTTAATTATATTGGTCAGAGTCCAGCAATGACCTCCTATTGTAATTCTCTGTTAATTCTGCAGTCCATAACTTATGGCCCACCAAAATGCAACAGCAAGCAAGGCTGCAGGCACCAGCTTCTGGCAGACGCACCTGAAAGGAAGCCGACAAATCTGCGGGAGGAAAGGGGAGGCCATTAGAAATGACAAGAAGCGAAAAGCTGGTGCAGAAAAGTGAGGATGACCGCCTGCAGGCAAGGTTAGTGCCAAACTGAGAACATTGCCCTGCGCCTCTGCAGGAACAAGCTGCAGAGGCGAGTCTCACCCTTCCACTCCTGTGCCTGTCCTTTCCAAACTCCACAGAGTCCTTGTCTCTTCCCCAAAATGTAATGTACAACACTGATTGTAACAGCCTACCCACCCTATCTCATCTAGAATATAGCCTCACAGTTTTTTATGGTGGGGAGACTCCTGTTTGCACAGAGCCCGGTGATTTCAGTGGCAGTTTAGCATGTGAGTGTTTGGAGACACTTGGCGCACTCAGTCTATGAACAAGATGTTTTGGTTTTGGTGAGGGGTACCAACAAACTAAAGAAAAAACCTGAACCTACAGTCACCTATCAGGCTTTACTTGGTGACACTTAGATGGGACTGAGGTGTTGCTGTAACAGAAAGGTAGAGAAGAGGGAGAACTCATACCCAGCTTCCATAACCAGCGATCCTCTTTGTCCAGTTATTGTTCAAAATATTTCCAAATCTTCTTGTAATGCTTTTAATAATATTCCATGTCTGGAAAACACTGACAGCAACCCTGATGATTAAACAAGAAACCACAACAGACAAAAACTGAAAACAAAACATGTGGATAGAAATTTTATTCTAAAAGTTGGCAAACTAAATGCCAAGTGTAGAAAACTGTAAAACAAAGCCTCACTCAACTCCAATATGTTCCTTCTTTAAAGCCTACAGAGTAATCTATGCACGTGCATTTCTCTAAATATTTAGGAGGAAAATCTGGTAACTCAGTAGGGCTTTAAAAGCTAAACAGATGTGATTTTAGAATTAACTGGTTACTACTTTGACACGAGAAAGCATGCAGCAGATCTCCTGACTGTCAGCCCTGTGCCTTTGCTCTTATTTCCAGCTAAGAGCAGCGAACCCCAGCAAGAGCTGTTGGACCCTGAGGAATCGGGATCCAGTGCAGGTGTGTCTGGCTGACAGAGGCTCTGTGCAGCCTGAATCTGAGCTGACTGAGGCTGCTGAGCATAGCTATATACTGCATTCAGGAACATAGGTGTAATCGGGTCGTATTCTCTTGAAACCTGCAATAGTCGACTCTCCTTTCAGACTAGGACATTTCTATGCTAATTACTGCATTACTGCAGTTAATCTGTGTTCTTTATGACGGAGATGACAGCCCTGTCTGCTCTTATCAGATAAAAGGCAGTGCAAACAGGTTGAGCCACGTTTTATTGAGTGTGCCTCGATGGGTTGTTTGACGTGCAGTAACATGTTAATCCCTAAAGCATCACATTTGCTAGGCTGCAGACCTCTCCTCATTCAGTTGTGCTTAAAGACATGGTCTAACCTAGAAGAACTACAGTGCTATTGTGGAATTTTAAATACGTAGAAACTGTGTAAATCTTTTGACTGGTTATAGTCCATGGAAACAATTTTCATTATAAAAAATCTTCCCCGTAAAATAAGATCCAGTAGCTGGTTTCTTTCTTGGGTTCTGTATGAAGCAACAGTAGTAGCAATACACACACACATATATATAATATATATATAATTTTTATTTTTTACTTTGGGTGCAGAAACGTTATTATTTTTCTATGTAACATGATTTTTAAAAGTAGCCAAAAACAGATGGTGTCAGTAAGGTAACTCACCCATGTGCCAGGTGAAGCAGTGTATCTTCAATCTTCCTGCTGTATGCTCTGTTAAAATCGTCCCCAATTAGAGCCAGGTGATGGCCAACCTGGACAGCTGAGCTGGAAGGCATTCAGGATATCCACATTAGAGGAAAATACTGCAACCTTGCTTCTTTAAAAAGCACTCTGCAAGTGTCAGGTACAATTATTTCCTTAATGGATGGACTAAGCTTGGCATGTAAAAGCTAAATGTTAGGGCTTTTTTATTATTTATAGGTTTATTGATCAGGCACCTTAAGTCCATATTTATAGGCTTAAATGCTGTGATGTTTTCATAAAAACCTGCATATTTGACACTTTTGAAAAGCCATGGTGTCTAATCCCTTCATATAATACAACACTATTCCAGTCCTAGAATTTTTTTCCACAAAGTTGAAATATTGAAAACCTTCACTTCAGATGACTCAAAATGTCTCATATTACATAACTGATCAATTTTTTTTGTCCAACAGAATTACTCCAGTGATCTCCATGATGCAGTCTAGTTCTCCAGCTAATGTCTGATGCTAGAGTAGAATTGGCCAAAGCACAATGGCTGTTCAAGATCTTGGGGCACACAGGTCCCTGAGCTATGACTGCTGTCAAACACAAAAGCTAAGGAATTTTGGTGGGTCCCCAAACTGTTTATACTATACTGATGAAAATCTCCAATGAAATCTAGTTTCCTTTAGATGTGCATGCTTTTTTTTTTTGTATAAAAATAATTATGACAAAATGTTTTTATTTTTACTTGTATTTCTGCTGAGATTTGTTTATGGGATCTGCTGCACAGCAAATGGACTTAAAAGCCTTATTCTAGAGATTGACTTAAAAAAAACTCAATCATAGAATCATAGAATATCCTGAGTTGGAAGGGACCCTTAAGGATCATCAAGTCCAACTCTTGACACCACACAGGTCTACCCAAAAGTTCAGACCATGTGACTAAGCGCACAGTCCAATCTCTTCTTAAATTCAGTCAGGCTCGGTGCAGTGACCACTTCCCTGGGGAGCCTGTTCCAGTGTGCAACCACTCTCTCTGTGAAGAACTTCCTCCTGATGTCAAGCCTAAACTTCCCCTGCTTCAGCTTAACCCCGTTCCCGCGGGTCCTGTCGCTAGTGTTAATGGAGAAAAGGTCTCCTGCCTCTCGACACCCCCTTACGAGGAAGTTGTAGACTGCGATGAGGTCTCCCCTCAGCCTCCTCTTCTCCAGGCTGAACAGGCCCAGTGCCCTCAGCCGTTCCTCGTACGTCTTCCCCTCCAGGCCTTTCACCATCTTCGTAGCCCTCCTCTGGACACTCTCCAACAGTTTCATGTCCTTTTTATACTGTGGTGCCCAGAACTGCACACAGTACTCGAGGTGAGGCCGCACCAGCGCAGAGTAGAGCGGGACAATCACCTCCCTCGACCTACTAGCGATGCCGTGCTTGATGCACCCCAGGATACGGTTGGCCCTCCTGGCTGCCAGGGCACACTGCTGGCTCATATTGAACTTGCTGTCTACCACGACCCCCAGATCCCTCTCTTCTAGGCTGCTCTCCAGCGTCTCATCGCCCAGTCTGTATGTGCAGCCAGGGTTTCCCCGTCCCAGGTGCAGGACCCGGCACTTGCTCTTATTGAACTTCATGCGGTTGGCGATCGCCCAGCTCTCCAACCTATCCAGATCCCTCTGCAAGGCCTTTCCACCCTCATTCGAGTCCACAACTCCTCCAAGTTTGGTGTCATCGGCAAACTTGCTCAAAATACCTTCTATTCCTACATCCAGATCGTTTATAAAAATATTGAAAAGTACCGGCCCTAAAATGGAGCCTTGAGGGACCCCACTAGTGACCGCCCACCAGCCTGACGCAGCGCCATTCACCATAACCCTTTGGGCCCTGCCCGTTAGCCAATTGCTCACCCATCGTATGATGTTTTTATTTAGCTGTATGCTGGACATTTTGTCCAGTAGGATCCTATGGGAAACCGTGTCAAAAGCCTTGCTGAAGTCCAAAAAAGAGTTGGTTTGGTCAGTCAAACAACAACAACAACACAGAAAGGAATTTTCACAGACGGGAAAGACAGCCCCTGACTGCTGAACTGGAAAAAATGTATGCACAGGAAAAAGAAAAAGAAGAGAAAGAGAAAGAAAAAGCACTATTAGTTTGTTGTGAGAGGCGCCTGGAGAATTATGTAAAAATGGCCTCTTCAGCTGCTTGTTGTAACAGGTGGGCTTCTAATTAAGAGCCACATCTGTGTCCCTGGACAGCATAAAAAGTTGTAGACATTTAATCCAGCATAATCTCATACAATTGGTGCTAAGCACTACAGGTTATCTACACTTGCATCTACTACACTTTCAATAGCATCCACTGATTCCACAGCTTAGCCAGGAGTCTTTGTGAAGGTTGGGGTGGGGGAGGGTTTTACCCGGGTGCGGAGGACAGAAGGAGCATTCTTGCAGCATGATACCTGATATTAAACTCCATTTGCTCTGCAGTATCTGGCGCTGCCAGAAGGTTGCCATACATTTCATCTTCTGGATCTCCTTCAGGGTAGCTGGAGAGAACAAAGTGCCTGGGGCTTCTCTGTGTCTGGGACATCATACTCTGCAACAAGACCAGAGTCAGTCCCACGGTGTCTGGTAGCACAAGGTCTTCTCATTTTAGATGGACGTGGTTCAGAGTATGCGTTTGCCCCTTTTGGGTCTGCAGTCAGAACGCGAGCATAAGAACTGAGGTAAGAACTATTTTGAGAGTGGTCAAAGGAAAGTTTCAGTGAACCAACAGATGTACAGCAATTCAAATGTGCAGCCTCCTCACAATGCATGAAAACAGCCTAGAAATTGGAAAATCTAGATAAACATAGCTAGCATAGCTAAGTATAGCTTCCCAGTAGTTTCACTTAGTATGAGATGCTTTCCTAAGCTGTTGGCAATGACCTCCTACCATTGCATTGCTCCAGCAGACCAGAAAGCAATTCAAAACCACTAGCCAGGATCTAGTACATAGGCACATCATGTCCTATGATGGGCCTGTTCTAGCAAAATAAATGACAAAAATCCCAGGGTTTCAGCCCAAGTTGTGCATCACTAGTATTTCCAATAAGGCTTTCCTTAAAGCACCAAAGAGGTTGAAATAACCCACAGCAGATCTCAGAGCAGAGCTAATGTTTCTGTAGCTTTTGCAAATGTTTTTATTTGACTTATCAAGCCCAATGATATCAGAGCTGTGCACCGGGACTATTTAAAACTACACACACACCCTCAGGCAGCCAGCCAGTGCTCCTCCTGCCCCAGAGATGTTTGCTTCTGCAGCACTGCAGAGGGAGGCTCTGTTCTGCCTTTACAGTGCCTGATGATTGACTGTGATGACAGTCCTCTGGATGTGCATTGGTTTTATCTGGCATGGCTTTGGCCTGCTGCTTTATCTCTCTACTTCCCAGCTACATCATAACTGAGCTGATTATTTTTGCTGCCAATCTTGGAAACAATGAATGGGATTTCTGCCAGACTGGATTCTTTTGTCCTTTTAAGCATGTGCTGCAGAATAAAAACTATGTAAAATATTATGAGAGATAGAGCTAAATCAAGTAAAAAGTGTCTGTGGTGAAGCTGCTCATAGTGGATTTGCTTGCCATCTTAATGCAATTCCATAAACTCTTTCTTCAAGGTTTATGTCTGGAACAAGACTGGGGCCTTTGTGCTCTGAGAAACTCCTGATCTTCTTTCAATATTTATAAGACATTATTACATTTTCTATAAAGCACTTATCATCAATTACAGTATATATATTACTGCATAAGTAAATGCATTTGCATGAACTAGCAGAAATTTCATACTAACTACATGAAAAGTTAGTTAGTACCAACTACCAACTCAGTTCTACAAAAGCAAAGACTTCTTAGTGACACAATGTGACTGGGGAGAAAATTTTAAGGATTACTTTATGTTCAGTAGATATTAGCATATATCATACAGAGTATAGTTTACTATTATCTTGTTTTAAACACTTCCTTTATGTGTTGCTGTATGCCCCCCTTCCTCAGTCCAAGCAATGATCAGGAAAAGGGTTATGTCCATAGGGACTTCCAACTTTTCCAGCACCATATCTGATTTCCAGAAACACAGTCACCTGGAGGACTTTGTAGTTCTGAATTAGGTGCCAAGGCTCCGTGTGTACAACACAGTGAAGCTGTCACACTTGGGAAAAAAAAAACAAAAAACAAACATATTCCCTGGTGCTAGTACCCGAGCTGGCCTTTCCATTTCCCAGAGGAACAACTAGACCAGTGGATTACCAGCTGCATCCCTCTCTATTTTTTGGGCAAGGCTGATGCAACATAAGTGCTATTGCAGCATGATCTGCGTTATCTGGGGCAGCTCCTGCTTTGGGAGCTCCAGAGCAAATGTATTTAAAAACAGCATAAAAACTCAACTGTCTATTATTGCATGTTTATACCAACTATTCTTAGACTTCAGAACCATGCACTGTGAAATATTCTCTCTAAAAAAAAAAGAAAAAAGTATTTTCTATTTTTTTCCATTTCTAGAATAGATGCTAGTTTCACATTTGCAGGACCACACAATGGAAATGTCTACATCTGTAGGAGATTAAAACTGAGTTCTGAAAGAGACCTGTGATAAGTCAATGCATGACAGAAATCAGAAATGTAAACAAACCATACAATACCATGACAAAAGCCCAAAGCACAACATATGCTTCCTCACACCTGTTATGATAATACCTTCCTCCCACAGGCTAAAAAAGAAACTGCTGTAGCTGCTGAGTCCTGCTGCCAAGGATTCAGCTGCAGCCTGTCCTGCTCTTTTCACCCACAGATTTGTCTCCACATTCAAGTCAGGGAGAGCTAAGAAAGAGGGTATTTGTTGTGCACTGGGTAGAACTGGCAGCGCTGGGGCAAAGGCACTCGTTAAGAGGGCTACTCCCCTGAAGGTGTGTGAGATGTGGCTCATTTAATTGCAAAGCAAAGCTTAGTGTTGGCCTTTCTGGCAGCTAGGGACCAAACTGAGGCCATTTGCTAATTTTTGTCATCTTTTTTAAATCTAGACACACTGGTATACATAGGCGTACATGTGAAATCTGCATTAATGTGGACCCAGTTTGTTTCTCTAGTCTAGATCCATACAGAGCTGGGCAAGAAGAGTGTATATCGTGTTACAGCCAATTCCGATCCTCCAAATAGGGATATATCAATCTTCCACCATCCATCTCATTCTTTCCTTCTTGCTCTCGCTTACACACAAAGAATGGGCAAACTGAATTTGGTTTACAGAAACCAAGAAGTGCCGAGTTTGTGTTAATAACTTACCACTTAGATAGCAAGTGACCATAACCTAATCCTCACAACATGTCTGAGAGGCACAGCAGGATCCCATACTAGCAGCAGCAAGCATCTCCAACCTAGCTAGCAGATCAAAAAACTCGTTCTTTTTTGTAAGGCTTTGACTGAGCAAACTAAAAGCTTAGTTTTAATGGTGAAATGCCTTCAGCAGAATGAATAATGTATTTAAAGTTAAATGCATACTTACTGTTTTGGTGAAGAGGTCCAAATTTAAAAGGCTCTCTAAATGCCTATGCTTATGTATATGAAGGAAATTATGACTTTTTTATAAACACGATTAAATAATGAAAATCCTCTTTCTACCAGAGATGCTTGACTCTATCTTTATTTTTCCTAGTCTTTTTTTTTTTTTTTTTCCAGTTGCGTCTCTTTTTTAACCTAGCA